ATAACGACTGCTTTGCGTAGCTGGTGGCGTGGCGTGTGCTCGGACGCGACAACACTCAGTGCAATCAGAAATGGACACGATCCCTGGACCCTGATCTCGTGCTGGGCCGTTGGACGAAGGCCCAAATCGAGACGCTCGTTCGCGAAACGTTGAAGGACCCAAACGCGAAGTGGAAGGACATTGCGGCGCGCGTTGGCCGACCGTAGGAATTTTGGCGCCTTTACGAGCACGTTGCCACAAGTTCAGTGGCTAGGATCAAGCAATGCCTCGATCGATGGGACGGGTACTCGGACCCGACCATCGTGTCGACGTACGATGCACCTCATCTTATCGCGTAAAGTCCACTCTGCCCCTAGACACGATGTGCCATTCACCGAGTTTGAAATCTCTTGGCTACTGCGTGCCTATGGTCAAGTCGACACGGCGTGGACCGCGATAACAAACATTCTGAACGGCCAGATCCAACACGACGCGCAGACGATGGATCTACTCAGGTCAACGAAGCCAGGCCAAGCCAATCTGGTACTCGATGCAACTGGTGCCTTGTCGACTCAGAATTTGTAGCGGCGGTCCAAGGTTGATGTCCAACGCACCCTCAAGCAGTGGACGAGAAAATTGCGCATAGGGTCCAAGATCGGCCGCCCCGCGGGGATCCAAAACCGTATTTCGATGCTCGTGGTACCGCCCGAACATCGAGAAAGCGAAGCGGCCATTGATCCCTTTGCAACTGGACCACTCGACCACCACGTGCACGCTCCTGCAAGTGAGCAGGTAGCGCCCGAGCAGCCCGAAGCTGAGTGGCATGGCATTGCGCCTGGCGCGCCGAATGGCACCGCTATCGAGCTCGTCGACAATGAAGTCGACACGATGGGGCGCCCCACGTTTCGCCAGCCGGTTGAGATCCCGATGGCCGACACCGAGGCTGCGCATGCTGCGGTCATCAATGCAACAGCGACAAGTGCTGCGCCGGCGACAAAATTCGACTTGGAGACGCTCTGCAACCTCTTCTATGGCCCGGACGACGCAGGAATCTTGGCGACCGAGTTCGCAGGCGTAAATATCATAACCCACCTATGCTGATATTATCCTTGTATAATCAAACGCTGGATTATTGAGGAGATGATCCACCGCCGTGATGTTGGAGTCGTGTCCATAGAAGACAAGGAACATGCTACTGGTCGGCGAGAAAGGGAGCCGCAGCTCGAACGTCGCGATCCCTGCTCACCACCAGAGTGTCCTGCTTGAGCGCCAACAAGATCCTTGAACGCTCGTCGATGGCCATCTTGGTCGGTCGCATCAACATTGCAGTAGCCAAACAGAATCTTTTGGCATCCAGTGTTTGAACCGCGTTCGATTTTCCACCGATAATCAAGCGCAACGAAGGTTCGAAATGGAACCGCCATTCTGCTTTGCGCCGCCTCGACGCAGGATGGAGAACTACATCGTGCTGCGACCGCTCGCCGACGCCATCTACGGGCGCATCCTCCTCTGCCGACACGTCTCGACCTCGGCGGTCGTCGCCATCAAGCTCATCGACATGGCCCATGCGACCGCCCACACGACGGTTGCCGACGGCCACACGGTCGACGAGAACGTCGTGAACGAGCTCGCCGTGAACCTCGCCGTGCGCGACGCCGGCGGCCACGACCACATTTGCCCACTCCAAGCGCACTTCTACTTTGACCAAGTCCTCGAGGGCAATGACGCGGGTACGCGCACGATGCTGGCGCTTGTCTTTGCCTACTGCCCGCAAAAGGAGCTGCTCGCAACGCTCTCGGCGGCGACGCGCTTTGCCGAGGCGCTCGCGCTGCGCTACCTCACGGAAATCAACGCGGCGCTGACGTTTTTGCACACGCGCCACTTTGCGCACCGCGACGTGTCGCTCGAGAACGTGCTCTTGACGGCCTCGGGCGCGTGCCAGCTGTGCGACTTTGGCTTGGCAACCGCGGCCGCAACGCCCGCCGCCGAGCCGGTCGGAAAGCTCTTGTACATGGCACCCGAGGTGCGCCGCGGCGGCACGTACGCACCCATGCAGGCCGACATGTGGTCGCTCGGCGTTGCGCTCTTCACGATGGTCGTCGGGCGGTACCCATTCAACGAGGCGGTCGCGACCGATGGCTTCTACGCCGCGTACCGCCGGGGCGGCCTCGCGAGCCTCCTCCACGCGCACAACGCCCACGTGCCGTCAAGTGACGTGCAGCACATTCTGCGGCACCTCCTGCAAGTGCACCCGCGCCG